CATGTAGAAGTTACTGTGTGGCGCGCAGATGCACTGCTGTGGTAGTGTGCTCTATAATTACCTTTACACATTTTACTTGTCTGCTGTGGAAGGAGGCCCACACCTTTGAGCGTTCCGACGAGAGCGAGGCATCGCAACGCCACGGTGGTGTGACTTTGGTCCCATTTTCGCCATTAAGCAGTTCGTGTCCCTGTCTTCCTACATTCCAGTGATCTGTGTATGCCTCTGCCCACTTTGCCTTCTCAAGCGCACTAAGTGTTTGCGTTTGTACCTTCAGGGAGGATGAAGGTGGGGCGGAAACATTTTCGTTCGCATTCGGCTGTTCAACCAGTAATTAATATTGACATACACGTATGAAACATGAGAGCATGCGTTCAGGAATAATGTGAAAGATGTAGTTGGGAAAAATGCGCATACATGCGCTTCACCACACTAGTGTTATCTATATGAGAGCCAATTTGACGATGGTTCTCTTCAGATATTTTAATTGTTGCAGAGCAGTTTTTGCTCAATGCACGACTCGATGTTGCCTCCGCGTACGCTAGTGATATATGCAGATAACTGCCAATATTTGGAGTGCTTGGAGGGGTTAAAAGGTGCGCCTTTGCGGTCACTTTCTCCCTACGTTGACCCTCCCTGTCACTGGTAGAGGAAGGAGATGTTTCGGTGGGATACATTGAGCTACGTTTCCCTATTTGTATTAGGTCAGGAGTTCATTATTATCCGTTGAAGACCTTTGATGGTGCGCCGCGACCAGGTAGAGGTTTATTGCAATATCTTGTGGTCCCCGGTTTTCCGTCGAACCGACCCTTGCCAGAGCGGTGAGCAATCCCGCTAAGATGTAAAAGGTGCACCATCGAAAGAGCCTATCGATCTGTGGAAATGTTATGCAGCAGTGGATTGAACTCTGCTAGTACTACATCACACCCCCTAAGCCGTACAACTCCCTGCCGATGAAACCTTTGGCAGCCTCATAATCCTCAAGTGTTACCTGCTAATGTTGATCCCACCATGTACGCTATACACATTGAGGCGCCTTTCAAACTCATGATAAAGCATTCCCAGCTCCCACTTGTCCCCTTGAGAGTCACTCCTTGATACGCAATTACCGAGGGGCAACGCTTCGACATTTCTGGATTCGAAGATACGTCCTAACAGCTTCACGCCGCGACTCTGCATTTGGCAGGACGCGGGATCCACTAGAGCAAAAAATTTGAGTTTCGCTCTGTTTTAGCAGATTCTCTTGTGGTGCGTGAAGCAGGTTAAATAGCAGCCATTCCTTATTCAGTGACAAACGAGCGTCAAGGTCGCTGAGTCGAGCCGCCACAGTGCTGCTGCAGCACACGCTTTGCAGGTGCAGTCCTGTTGATTCGTGGTTAGGGTGCAGGGCCAAGCAGGGATGGTCAAGGGATGAGACAAGTGACGCATTCGAGCGGAAGCCTTGTTCTCCCAGGATACGTAATGCAGGAACAGGGCTCACGTGCCCCCATTACTACTATGTTGGAACATATTCCTTTCGAATCACCAGTATATTGATGAAGAAAAGATATAGAAAATAGGGCCTAGGTGAGGTACACGACGACGCAAGAGCAAGACGCTTTACGAGCAAAGTCTCAGCCGCTAAGCACACATTCGGAAAAGCATATTCTCATTTTCATCACATTGTGCAATAGAACTATTCGAGGCTCTTAACATCCTGTTCTACAGTACAGGTCTTCAACTGTCTTCGAGAGACATTTGTTGATGCGTCACTAATCGTGGAGAGAGAACAAGATTGGCGATTGCTTTCGCCAGATGATACGGCTGCTTCAGCTAGCGCCGCCTCCACAAACGTACGCAGCTTGCTGTAGTAGCTCTGACCTCCAACCTCCCAAGTGTCATTATGACCACCATTTTCAACATCTTCTCGCAGCTTCAGGCGTGCACCACATGCCTGAGACAACATAACAACAGACAACCCCATTAGCGCCGTGGGCCAACAGTGCAAACACACCGCTACTATATGTAGACCTGGCAACAGGGGAACCCGATGCAGGAAGGAATCCTGTGTCAAGAGAAAGCAATCGAGGCAAGAATTGGGGCAATCTACTCGAAATCATGCAAAATCGCAGTTCGTTCGATCAACACTCAAACTGCACTGTCTGCTGTCCATCGTACTGCCCCACCAAGTGGGTGGAATGTGTGTAGCTCCTTACGCTAAATAACAAATCCATATGAGAGGGAGGGACGAGTTTGTCTTGACGCCCCGAAATAAACAAGACCGGCAGTGTCAGGCTGCGAATTTTCTCTTCGTTCAACATATACATACGCTACAGCCAACCCAACCGCATCACATATCACACTGTTCAAACATACTAAGAAATGCAAGTGCGCATCTCCTCGAATTAACTAGCTGCGATTACTGTTTGCAAACGTTAGAACCAGGAACTTTAAACGAGATAGCATGTGCTGGCTTGAGGTGGGTCAAAGCCAATGCAGCACATAAGTACATTAATATTCGAAATAGACTTTTTCTACAGTTCAGCTTTATAGGCACGCCCCACAATCCACAATATCTGGTCCTAATGAATTGCATCTGTCATCGGTTTGACGCCCAGCTGCAACTGCTTTTTGCCCTCCTCATTCAAGCGAATACGCCACTTTATTACGAGGATGGACAGATCTCCTAGGCGCTTCTCCTGGTCATAGAAGCTCATGGCAACTGCTTTATCATGGCCTACTAAAAAAAAAAAAGGATTCACCGTTGTGCCCACCTGCACGGCTTTTACCAGCAGATTGAATGGACTCAGGAAGGGAAAGACTATGTACAACATTTCCAACAGAGAGGTGAAGGCGTTTTCAACAACCACTCCCCGCAACTGAAGAGTAACAGCCACAAAAACATATTCAACATAGCTGCTGACGAAAATGCAAGAATGGAAAGGACCAGCCTTATCGGCCAGTGAGGTTGCTTCCTGTCGTGTACACACAGAAATACGGGCATGAATCTAGGCAAAAATTCTTGCTACAGCAAGGTACTTTCATTTTGATCCTGCCGAAGCCTGCAGTGTTTGCTTATCTAGCCGGAAATCCAGTGTGAGAATTTATGAAGTCCTAAACAGGGGCTTCGAGGTATGGTTTGGCTTTCCGAATCACTTTTAAACCTCACCTCATCACCCCTTCGTCTTGCGAGTTCGATGGCCACAGCTCCCCCGATACTTCTCCCAAATACGAAAATATCTTTCCTGTTGACAGTTGTCTCTTCTAAGATAAAATCAAGTGCTGCCTCGGCGTCGGTGTACACTCCCTCCTCCGTGGGAGAACCTTCACTGTAGCCGTAGCTGGATTACAAAGCCGCACGGGAATCAGAATGTTTGAAGACGATACCAGCAGCGTATAAAGCTCATTTCATATACATATATAATAAGGGTAAAAATTGCTAATGGGTTCGATTCATGTTGAGAAGCTGTGATTGGGGACTGAGGAAAGATGGGATTTTCTGCTAGTGCACATGCTCAACTTGGCTAAGCCGTATTCTGATCAGTACATCGTGCGACGTTCAAGGCACCTTAAATTAATGTGCCGTTGGTTCTATTCTCGAAGCAGCAGCAGAACACGGTTATCTATCTCATTCTGGTTTTGACTTTTACTTTTTTCTTATTAACCGTTTGTGCTCAATTGTGATTTACTTATACCATACCCCCTATAGGACACAATGAGAATATTTACTCCGACCGCGCGAAACATCAACTCTAGGTTTGGCAGGCGAAATCCAATATCTGAACCAAAAAGTGTACATACAAGTGAAACGGCACGCACAGCATGAATGGGCAAATTTTTGAGCATCGATGCGAAGATGAAACATAACAAATGCAACAATCAACGATGTAGGGAAATATCCTAAGAGTTTTTGCAAAATGAGCTCTTGTTCGCCACAAGAAATTGCTGGCTATCATTTTCATTTTGCATCTCGTCATTCCTCCTAATCAGTGTTGCAACGTTCCCCTCCATAAACATGAATCCCTTCCTGCTTAATATTATTCTGCTTCAATTATTAGCTTTTCTCTACTTGCTGCATTCTTCTTCTCCTTCGCTGCCTCTAGCGTACTGTCTACCTAGTCCCCCCAAAGCTTCTTCGCTCCCATTACCCCGCATCACGCAATACTCTCTCAAGAATACGTCTCACAACGTAACCCGCCAAGTCAAATTTACCAGGCTGAAGAACAAAATGCATTATGCAGCTACTTGCTGCTGCAGTATACGAGCAGAAAAACAAAAACGCCTCATAGATCTATTTCTCATCCACTGAAGCCCATAATCCAGAAAACGAACATATAATCGGAGGGCATATAAAAGCTACCAAAGGGCTCTATGTCCGCTACTCCGCAGAAGAGACTTACTACCAGCATTCCCGTGGAAATACAGAAACGTCGGGACGTGCTTTGCGTTGGGTTGCCGCAGTATCCAGCCGTGGAGAGTTATCCCGTCTCTCGTTCGGATGTACACATCTTCATATGGCAAATCTGCGAACGGTAGAATCGTGACATTCATCAAGATTTTACACGAAATACCCTTCCCTTCCGAATTCTTGGTGCTTTTCCTTCCACTGGTCAACATGGAATGGCATACAAACACATTGGCTAAGAAGCCGAGGCCGGCTGTGTACGTGCATACCTGAGCCACTCAAGACAACGGAATACACGAGGTGATAAAATGCTCACTTCTCTCGCCAGGATGATGCAAGCCCTTTGGGTTCTTATCAGGCGTCTCGTATCCCTTTGGAACTACACAAAAAAAGCCAAGCAGGGATCGATTCCCCCAAACCTGAGTTTCTAGCCCTCGATCCGCGACCACACCTATAAGGATTTGCTGATACACCGTTTTCTTCTACTAGTGCTACTCTAGCTGCCACTGCCACAGCTGCTGGAAGTTCTACTGCTGCCATTTTTCGTCCGGCTTGTCGACGCCCCCATGCCCCCTTCGGATCATAGTTTTGTGCCTTTATTACCACCCGGATAGAAGACAAGTTTCTCTTGGAAAAACCACAGTATGCCTGCATCCGCAGAAAAAAGTAGCGGCAACACCAACCACCGCAGAGCTGAATGTGTCATCGACAAGCTGCACATTCCATGCTGCAATCCCTGAGGATCGCAGCTATGACTCGCCGTCCCGCTGCTGAGCCACGATAAGGTGCAAAACCATGCCACTTGCCTAGTCCTGAGTCAGCAGACACTGAAGCAACTCACCGACGACTGCGGAAAGAATAAAGCCGCCAACCCACGCCACGCGGGTGAGGATGGCGGCCAGGCCCCACAAGGACATCTGGAAATTTAGTGCAAAAGGTTGCCTCTCTTGGGCAAAATAGTTCTTGCATAACGGCCTTGCGTTCTCTGCAAGTCTTATTCTCGCTCGTGCTCGACTGCTGGAACCACTATATACGGTATTGGCCCCTGCAAAGAACGATACGTTTCTGGTATTAATACCTGATGCGATCGCCCGTGCTGAAACTTTAGAGAGTGGTGGACGGGGGCAAATGTTGCGGGGAACGCAATGGAAGTTTCTGTAGAGCAGGTTACACGCAAGAGGGTGTTACAGACGCCCTGAGAATGAGGGACCCTGATGAAGAAAGCAAAGCACCATCCCTTGTCTTCTGTTAAATACTCAAGTGCAACTTTAACGCTGAAGCGAATCTTCAGGTCCAAGAAAACAAGGAGCTGACTGGCGCAAACATCCCGTGCGCCGTCTGCCCTGGTGCCCTTTGGCCGTACGAGGCAACAAACTCCCCGCAGGAGTGCAGTAGCCGATAACGCAAGCTGCACATGAGTTGTTCAGAATTGTGCTGTGCATTACTCACGGAGGAGCAGACGGGGGGAGAGCTTTCTCAAGTCTCGGCCCACCTGCATTGACTTTGCAGCCGGTGCATGCTTTACAGGCCAGCCCCATCGATACAAAACAAAAGAAATGTAGTTATCGCACCTATTACTCTGCTCTTTTGCGGGGAATATAGCTTGCAGTATCTATGTGGGCTAATTTAATGGCAGGGTATGCTGGGAACCAGTCTCAACGTTCGCCCAAGCAGACAGGAGCCGATTGTCCTATATGCCTTCTCCCTTCTACTCAAGAGAACGGACAAAATGCGATAAACAGCTCTTAATTCAGAAGCAAACAACATGGAATGCAGCTGGTGCGGAGACAATCGAGATGCAAGTCGGTAGTATATTGATAGAACCTACAACTGAAGACAAGAACAAATATTTATGGAGCGAACCAAGCTATATTTGGGCTCGCTCTATTATAGGTGTTCGATTTAATTGAGAATCAGTGTTCCATCTGGCCCTTCGGATCTAATGCTTTGCAAAACCGCGCTAGATAGATACAGCAAGGCGCGATACTGTGTCTCTGTGCTCCAGAAGCGATGTGTAACTAGCTGAAAGCTCTCTGAAAACAGCCACGCCCACCCTAGCTGTAGCTCTCTCCTCAGCTCGCAAACTCTGATAGTAGCGACCAGGTACACGCGGGGGTTCTCTTGGGAAGCCCCAAAAACCTAAGTGGGAACGTTACAGCTGATAGCACCGCCAAATTAGACGTCGCAGTTTACCCTTATCTACTCTATGTAGATGCAGTGAGATGTTTTCCTGCAAAGGTTGTGTGGTTTCCATGTTTATGTACCAAGCCTAAAAGTACCGTTTTGCAAGAGAAGCGGACGGTAGCGCAAAAACTGTTGCGGTGACGGAGGGCGGCTTCCAAAAGGATGTGAACGCAGTAGCTCTACAGCGAGTGTATGAGGCACGATATGTCAGGCGATAGAATGTTGTAGATGCGCACATAGGCCTTATGCCTACCTGAAAAGTGTCTCGCTAGTAAGGCTCGACAAATACTCGCAGATTTCATCAGTCCTCTGAAGATGCTTTCTTTGATGCTCAATTTAAGGCCTCCGAAGAAGCGTTCTCACGTTAGGGTAAATATGCACCAGGTTGAACATTTGAAGTTTCTATTCTAAACGATCTTACCCTATGCCTTGCCGGCGACCTCTAGGCCTCCGACATCAGCGGAAACGGCCAGCAAGGGTGCGCCTTGCTGCACCATCCAAGCACCTCGAACATTCCGAGCTGGGGCATACCATCTAACGCACACGAAGACAAATTGTGCCTTTCCATATGGGGCAAACGCTATTTTGCTATTAATGAGACGCATGAACACCAAAGCGATAGTGGTAGAATTTTGACCTTTTCTTGATAATATCTGACCAGTCTACTAGAGAGTCCCTGTTTTAGCTTGCCGCGCTACAGCTTCCCCCAGATTTTAGACGTGCACAGTAATTTTCTGCAGCTGTCCTAGATCAATTACGGGGAGAACAGCGGAATGCGAGCAAAAGAGTTGCCGCTCTTCCGGCATTCCCAAGGAAGGCAGAAACGCAAACACTCATGCGCGTGAGAAGGGGAAGTAGGCGCTTGCTCGTACATACAGATATAAGCAAAACGATAAACACTAGCTACTAAATAATACGCAAGAAACTAAATGAACTTGATCGCGCCTTAGCGATGCCTCGCTCTCGTCGGAACGCTCAAAGGTGTGGGCCTCCTTCCACAGCAGACAAGTAAAATGTGTAAAGGTAATTATAGAGCACACTACCACAGCAGTGCATCTGCGCGCCACATAGTAACTTCTACATT